CCCCAAAACCCCAAAACCCCAAAACCCCTATAATTCATCAAGTTATTGAGAAGTAATGGCTCTGGAATTGGCAAAAGTTACTGAAAGTAGATCTCTGGTAAGTTTTCCATCCTTAGTCTCAAGCATCTCTAAGCGTGCCATGTTTTTGGGTTGGTTAACTTTTGTGCTTGAGATAATTCGATTTCTACAGAATTTACTCATGCTTCAAAATCTTTAGAGTTTGTTCTTTAAATGTCATTCATACAGAGAACTTAGGCTTACCTTTATGGATCGAGAAGTCGGGTCCTTCATCCTCTCTTTGGCTTTCTTCATAAGTGAATCAAGAAGAGAGATAGCACATTTAGCAACATCTTTAGGGAGTTTTGTAGCGAATTCATGCACGAAATCTATGCGGGGCTGGTATTTGAAGGGTTTATAACGAGGATTAAGGTTCAGAAGGAACTTTACTCTTATTATAACTTGAAGAGAATAGCATTGAATAAGGTAAACGTTATTTTAGATCAATAGTTTATCAACCTATGCCCATTTACTTCCTCAGAGCTTGGGAGGCTCAAAGTTACAGGCACAAGTACAGAAAGAGCTTATTTCTATTTTGCAATCTTCTTCTGTTTGCTGATACTATAGTGAATAAGCAGTTAGATTTTGTTAATTATGTATTAATCTTCTTCATAGTCGCATTGGTTTGGACAAGTACAAAGACGATTAAAAATACATTTATGCAGAAAGAACTGTTTGAAGGTCTCAAGCAAGTTAGGCTGTCTAGGGTTCACCCCTTAATGTTCTTGCTAAGGAGAGCAATCTTGTGCCTGATGATCATCATCAAGTTCCACTAATTTATTACTCACATAGCATAGGCTTGAGATTCATGGAGAGCTATACTTTCCTTGTCTTCTATTTAACAGCAAACTGTATCTATTGAGTAGTCATCGGTGTCACTAGGTAAGAGTCATTCAGGATCAGAGTTATCCGACAAACCCCTTGGGAGCCATAACACTCATTCCAACTATAGGCCATTCCTGGAGGTCTCTGAGAACATAACTGAAATGATTAAGGAGGTGTTCTACCTTGGATTTTTTTGTTCCTCATCATTCACTACAACAAAGGATATTGGAGCAACCTAAAAGTAATTGTTTTCTACTGGACTTTAGTGCCTAACAAAGTTCTTGATGCTCTTCTTCATACTTAAGAGCTCGATTCTATCAGCTCATATAGTGGAATTTACTTAAGCAACTGTTAAAAGGAAGTACAAGCTCAAGCTAATAGATATACCTCTGTAAACTCTTTCATTTCTAGGTAGACCAATATGAGTATCCAAGAGAAACGCTGCATCCTTGGAATCAACATGGAGCATTATAAGTAATGTAGAAAGTGCTTCTTAATGTCATTTTTCATGAAGTTACATTTGCAAAAGTTTTCAATCTCTTATGCATCTTGGGGTTTTGGGGTTTTGGGGTTTTGGGG